TAGCATATATCCGGGAGTGACATACTTAACCTGTGACCTCCATCATGAAGTAGGATATTGTCCTTTAATGTTCAGCGGATGTTCAATGCCATCTGTTTGTAGCATATATCCGGAGTGACATAATTAACCTGTGACCTCCATCATGAACTAGGATATTGTCCTTTAATGATCAGCGGATGGGTTTTGTAATATATCGTGTCACACCATAATTAGCCCACGATCTCCATGGTTGAGACATGAGTCATGTTTGAACTCGATCGCCCGGGGACAGCTTTGGACCACATGTGTTCGTGTTCGTGTTTGTGTTCATGTGTACAAACTGCGTGAAGACCTTTTGTACTTCAAGATTCCCGCTTGCTTGATTCATAACATCGTCCAAAATCAGAAGATTAGCTTTGTCGACGGGTAGTAAACGATCATCATTCAGAGACTCGGGTATTCCTTCAACAAATTTAATGTCATACAATTTAAGCAACTCGCCGTACAGAGGTTGCCAACAATTGTAAATATATACAATGTTTTCAATTTTTTTAGAAATCATATTTAAACCATTTTCCAACAAGCTCTTTACGAAGTAGGTTTTGCCACTATTGGACGGGCCACTGATCACACACGAGAAAGGATGAATAAGTCGAAAGTCAAATTCAGAAGCATCCCGAGCCCCTCTTTGCATCATCGAATTAGTAGCCATAAGGAAGGGTGTTGAAATCCGGTAAAAGTCTACGCTTATTGTACACCACCTTGAACCTTTTGTCGACTGACTTGTTGTGCAACGTGAGTCGCTTTTTATTCCTCAAAATGTTTTCAGAACGAGCCATGATGTATCGAGTGTCGTCGCGAGACGTCACATAGCCGGTAACCAGACCTATCAGAGTATCTAACCGGATAGCTTGGGAATTTTTAGCGTTCAGAGTTATACCCTTAGCCTTCATGCACACTTTTCCTTTGGCTGTGCGATAGCCATACGATTTGGGTCCACTAGAGGCAAACTCTGTGATGTAATCGTCGTCCCCGATTTCATCCGTCAGCTCCCCCAAATGGTCCCCCAGAGGGGGTATCCAGTCGCCGTCCCTAGACACGAATATAACGGAGTCGGTATCGGAGTATAACACCCGGTCGCCGAGTCTGTCCATCAGGTCGTACAACTCCAACCGGGCGTGAGCCGTCGTAAACGCCCCTATAAACACGTTAATGTTGCGAGTCTCACAAACATCCCCTTCGGGACGACAATGCTGGACGAGAGCCACGTCGTCTGAGACGAATGTGAAATATTTCAGGATATCAGTCTTACCAAAAATGATTTGTGCAAAATCTTCAGGGTCTTTCACGAGCAGGGTTTGCGGTAAATGTTCGTGCATAGAAAATCGTCCCCATAACGAATTAAGAAGCAATTTATTGATAGACCTCTGGGCGGGGTTGTGACTGATTTTTTCGGGGTCAAGTTGGATCCCCTCTTTTTCATAATATTCAATGATGTAATTCTCTTTGTCCGCGTCCGAGACTACGTTTGACGGGAAACCGGACGCTTGCTGTTTCAAACGTAAAAACGTTTTCACGTAATCGCAAAACAGCGTATCTGACCGCTGTGGGAAATGCCACACTTCGTCGACCTTTTCCACCACGTACCCCTTCTCGATCGCTTTTAAAAGTTCGATGCTGACCCAACACCCTGAGAGAGCCCTCTCCTCGTCCGTGTGTGTGCAACTCGTTGTCTGG